GTGTGTGTGTGTATATATATATAGATATAATATATATATATTATTATGTATATATATAAATATATATGCATATATATATATATATATATGTGTGTATATATATATGTATATATATGTATATGTATATAGTATATATATATATATATATATTTATATATATATTGTATGAGTCACTTTTACATTAAATATATATATTCGTGATTTTCAATGTTTTATTAAACATGCGTGTTGATTAACATATATTTATGTACGCATCTACACCTAATAGACATGAATAGTCGATCATCCTCTTGTATTCATACATGTACTTTTCTTTGTTTTTTAGAATGTGATAGATAATGTTTATGATAAACTTTATAAGGTTTGGTACAAATATGTCTTGACATATATGGTGATGATCATCTTATTCAAATTGATCGTGTATTCTTTTTTGTATTTAAGGTTTTAACTGAATGTTGTCAAAATGCAATTCTTCTACCCGGTTGCCATCAGTTACTGTGGTTTTCGCAAATCAATCCATATCAAACCATGATTGCAAATTATACCTTTTATTCGATTCCTGACAGAGGTGAGATTGCTGTTCAAAGGTAGCTATCTTGGCTATACGCTGCCCGATCTAAATCTACGACTTGAGTATCTGACCCGGACGGATGACTTCTATTGTGGCCAATTCGAGGCCCTGGGTGCCAACACCGTAGTTATGGTATGTATTGTGATCGATCGGGACGGAGTCAGTCAAACACTATTAGATTGTACATATAGCACGTGCTCAAATCATGGACGCAGTAGCTCGAAAATTCTACCCACATTGTATATTACATGCCCAAAATGGTATGTTGCGCCTTGAACGTTTTTAGAATCTTACTTTATATCAATAGCTCTCAAAGGTTTCTACATCGTTCAGAAGATAGGTCGGAAGATAGTTCGTTTCTCATTGTTCTGATTTTATAACTCGCGAACTGTTTCTTACAGGCCCGTATGTCCACTCTAGCCTGTAGCAATTTGGAGCTAGCAGATTCGAAAGCTATGGAAGATGTGAGCCTAATTAAGTTTGCCATAACAGGTATTATTGCCATTGTTGTTGCCATGAATGCTCGTTGTGTATTTTCCGTTTAATACACACCATATCTATATGACCGGATATCAAGATTCATATTTACAATCTATCCGCCTCGTACCTGTTCTTTGGCGACTGGACAACTTGTACCGTTTATCTCACTTTGATATACTGGGTATTTTGCAGCGTTTACTACGGAGAGTTTGAGCAGCAAGAGGAAAATGGGATTGTCATCGCATGGTGGAACTTCAGTTAATCAATATCCCGAATCGGCAAATGAAAATAGTACATGGAAAAGGGGCTTATTGTGGGGAAGTATAGCGTTGGGAGTGATCGTCATTCTCTTGAGCTTGGTGTTGTGTTCATATTTTGCATACCAAAAGTACGCAAACCCGACAACGACGGCAGAGAAAGGGCTGAAAGAAGATCTCGATAGCAAGACTAGAGAGTATTTGCACAACACGCAGGGAAGTCCACGGTCGTCGATAGTGCATTCTAGCACATCTATCAATCCAACACCCCAACAAGCGCTCATTAGTGGGTTATCAAATACTCGAACTAGCAGCCATAGTTTACTCTCATACACCCAGAGCTTCAACAATACGAACAGACTGGGCGCCGGCCATCCCACCTCTTGCACCGTGACAAACACGGCACCTTCAATCTTTGAATACGGCGCTAGCTTCAAGGAGAAAAAGGCCAGGAAGGACAATGAGAAGAAAGGACAAAGACTGACAAGACAAAAATCGATGGGTGACAAAGATAGTGGGTCAGTCAGATTGGGCGCGATCACACTGGATCCCCTACCGAGTCAGGTCGAAGATCATCTGAATTCGTATGCAGGTTCTCCCAAACAGACTGCAACTAGAATGGATAGCGGGTTTTCATTCTCGTCTCAAACAACTGTTAAGGGTATTGATAATTCCAATTGTCAGCCCAGTGAGACACTGAATTTGACGGAACAGATTGTTGCTCGATTAGGCTCCCCACCGCCCAGGCGACAACGGAACAGGTCTACTTCAACTGGGAGTGAGACTACTGTAGAGTCGAGGTTAAACTTCAAGAGCGAAAATAGCGTGAACTATCGAACCAAACCTCCCACAGAACCTGTCAAGCTTGATTCTGTAGAAGTTGCACAATCTCCAATCACAGAGGTTTATGTTAAGGCAAACGCACGAGATAAAATCCCAGAGGCGAAACCTGTTGTGAAAGTGGATAACAGTTTATCTACCGGCTTAACTGTTGGGAAGCCTACAATCAGACCACCAAAGTCTCCGTTGTGTCAAAGATCTCCCTCAAATTTGTTCAGAGAAGCTACACTGAGCGCAACGGACGACAATCCTCGCACGACATCAACAACCAGCGCCAGTTCTGCGGAGTCATGTGCGCGTAGTCAAACAGAGATGGCATAAAGCCAGAGCCGAAGGGTGTAGGTGATCCGCCAACTGATACTACCAATGCGAGGAACCTAACCACTGAAGCTGAGCCTAGAGCGGTACAAATACAAGACAAGTGTAGTGAGGATGTAGATGATATGTTGTTGAGCGATGAGTCTTCAGAACATTCTTTGGGCATCAAATCAAGTGGGATTGAAGAACTGGTAGAAAAGCTAACTGATATATCAATGGATGAATCTTCAGGTTCAATTCATCGGGCTTTGAGCAAAACACGAACCAGTTCCACGAAAAGGAGACGCAAGGTTTTAACTCCAACCAGTAGTGTGGAGATGAAGTGAATAGGGTTAAAACAAACTTTGATTTCCAATACGGGACCTCTAATACCAACGATTGGCGGCGAGAGAGGTAGCGGTCGACGCAAGTCTAAGAAAATGGTTTTGCGCAGGAAATCCGAGGATGAGATGTTCTGAGGCGGACTGCGATACCGTGTGCCGCTTTAGCAAGAAACAACTGATAGAAAGTGCTTTCGATCAAGTTTAAACGCACCCCTCTGTATCTTTCATCTCAGACAATTCCAAACGTGCGGCGATTCTTGTCGTGCACGACACCTATTTCTGTATATGAATAGGATACATAATAAATTTAAATATATAATATAATATTATTTTAAAGTTGGAGGAGTTATTGGTCACATAGATCAATTTCCGAGAACTTCGCGCTATTGGGAATCCATGAGCAGTACCGAGGGCCAAGAGCTTTTATTTAAAGACAATACTAAGTGGTACAAGCCCATACGATCATTTAAGTGGGTCAAAACAGTCGTATTGATAAGCTGATTGCAATTCTATCAATAACGAGGATTAAATTGTAAATGAAAACGACGGTAATCTACATGAAGATAGTGGCAATCCACACAAAGACAAAGGTAATTAAATCGGTTTCACACTGCGAGATCGATTCATATTTTTCTATTCCGCCTTACAAGCTTGTACTTTTGAATTTGGAGCAGTTATTTGTCACCTACATCAATTTACTAGGACTTCGTGCTATTGAGAATTCGTGAGCAATACCGAGGTCCAAGTGCTTTGATATAAAGACAATACTATAAAGTGGTACAAGCCCATGCGATCTGCGATCATTTTGGTGGGACAGACAGTCGTATTGACAAAAGCCGATTGCAAGTATATATATAAAAAGTAATTAAATTGTAAATGAAGGTAACGGTAAAATCTACATAATGAAAGCGGCAAACAACACGAAGGTAAATTTTACATTGCGAGATCGATTCAATTTAATTCGATTCCGTCCTACAAGCTAACACGCATCCGCTACTGATAGAATGCACACTCTGTATCTTCCTGAAAATTGTGACTCATGGAGCTAGTCGAATGAACATGAGCCTTGGGTGAGTTGCTCGGCTCCGATGATGCACCAGTGCTAGTTTTCAGCAATGACTTTATGAAGTGCTTCAGCCTTTTTGAGTTTGTAGTGTTCCCTCCTTTTTGCATTTTTTGCCTGCCTATTCTTTGAATGAGCTTGTTTGAGCCCACATGCGTTGCACAAAGGCTGGTTCCCATCTCTTCGCCATTGCGGTGTCTCGGTTGTGCCACAAACGCAACACGATCTCTGCCCGGGCATTTGAGCCAACGACGACGGTCCTGAAAGCCCACTAAGGTGCATCAGACCCGATATACCCATATTGTAAGAATTATTGGTGCCGTCTTTGTATGAACCGATCATGGTCGTGTCCTCTCCCCCGGACTTGGTGTTGATCATCATCCTCATGTCCTGATCAGTTGTTCTATTCAGTTCGAAATCTACCGCACTTGATTGTTTGTGAAACATTGTTGTTTCAGTGGGCAGTTTTGGAGTCTGCGACGCCGATTTAAGCGTGCTAGAATTCATTTGACCACAAAGCGAGTCGTGTGTCGATGTTAGCATACTCGCACGTGATGACAGTAACAGGTCGTCCTTGTGCAACGATTCAAACAAATGTGCAGATGTAATATTTTGATATCTCGTAGATGCGCCTTCGTTCGCTCTCTGTCGTGCGAAGTCGTGTTGTGCATTGTGCAGGCCATTTGAAAGGCTTTTGATGAGATTCTGTAGTGTTCGCGTTAAATTCCTCCGCTCCAGTATCAATGGACTGCTGGGTGTGGAAAGGCTGTCATATGGGCCACGACTTTGACTGAAATCTATAGCAGGCATACTTCTACGATTTCGATTCTTGATCTGGGTTTTGTGAAGTGACGCTGAACGCCGGCGCTGAACCAGGTGATTTTGCTCCCCACCTGTACTCACTGCACTTGTACCAGGACCACATACTCCACCAGAATGCTGCTTAATGTTATTCGTATCCAATGATTGTATCCTACTTTCACATCTCATATCCCAACCCTTGTGCCCTATACTTTCCCCACCAGGGGGTGACACGCTCTCATAGCGAGGATGCATCAGTGCCTCGGTCTGTTGATCCCGATCGAAAGTGGGAACTTCTTCCTTGATATGCATATTCGGGAACTGGTTCAGTATATCTCCATGCGTGGGCATAGAATATAGACCAGAAAGTGTGCTTGCCTCCTCCTCAATCGGGCCCCGGCCGAAGATTGAGTTGTTGTTGGCTGGGGACTGAATGCTGTCAATTTGGAACGCGTGTGTTCTTGCACTTCTGGTTTGTACGTCCATGGCAGGCCTGTGCTGATCTACAGAAGTAGCATCGTTTAGCATTGGGCTTCTGATATCCTGCGTAGAACATCTCTTCAGGCCTGCACCGTGTTTTGTTTCCCTTCTGAATTCGAGGCTCTGTGCAATGCTATGATTAATCGTCGTTTGTTGCGTTGGTTGCCCAAAATCTGTTGCAGTACCATCAAGTGCAGATGCGCTATTTCTACGTAAATGAAGGTTCATCTCTTTGTTGGACACAGATCCACCCACGCCAGATTCACCGCTATGTATGTTCGAATTCAAGTACAAGTTTCCTACCGGTGTATTCCACTGATCACTGGTCATGATATCTATTATTTCGCTATTTCCTTTCAAGATAGCTTCAGACAAACACGAATATCGATTGGCGCCTAAAGAACATAATAGTGTCACCATGCTAATATTGTCAGCGGCAATTGCCCAGTGCAATGCTGTGATGTCGTCGGCACCGCTGCCGTTTATATTAGCACCGTGCACTACTAATGCTCTCACCAAATTTTCATCTCCTTTTTTTGTCGCAAACACTATCGGTATGCCCAAAGCACTTTCAGTGTTGAGAGCTTTAATACCATTTAATACTGTCCATAGCGCTAGTTGACCAGCATGACCAGACTGCAGAATAGTTTCGAGAGAGTCCTTAAGGTCTGCTGTTTGTGACCTTCTAATATTGAAGTGTGCATCTTCGACCGAGCTCGCTGTGTACAAATTATTACCCTCCGAATCCACTACATTGAAACGCATATCATCACAGTTAAAATCCTTTAAATGAGTTTGTGTGTGCAGTGTACCATCAGCGCCGTTTTGTGAATCACTATTCGATAAAACGTACCCCGTGTGATAGCTGTTCAATGCTGACAATGCGTGCAATTCTGTCTTTGGATAGCTCGAGCCGAAACTAAGATTCTTAGCGAAGACCATGTTCGAAAAGTTGTAATTATTGGTACGCAATAGTTTTCTGAAGCATCCCTGAACAGACTACAATATGTGAAAATCTCACATCAGAGTGCTGTGATTATAAGAGCCAGGATGCACAAAGTGGAAGGCTGTATTTACTATTTAGCGTGAACCGTGACTCCAGCATTTTTATTTTTCATTGTGTAAAATTATAAATATCAATTTGCATTCCAAAGCCACAATCACTGCAGTGTTTTTTTTTAGTAAAAATGCATACACGCACGACTCCATGAGTCCACAATTTAGTAAATAAATAGCAAAATATTCGTCACATGGCTTACAGACTCCCAGTGGGACCCAGGGCCAGTGACCCGGTCCCAGGCTCCCAGCCGCTCTAGAGTAGAGTCCAGATTCCAGAACTCCAGACTCGAAGCCGCCAGTACTTTTTGGTTTAGTCTAAACCCTTCTGTTCAATATTTTTTAAATACAAATACAAAACCGGTAATATTTGTTAAAATATAAAAAATAGGATAAAAATTATATATATATTTTTTAGGCTGGTATCATGTCGCAACATTGTCGGTTTAAAATATTTACTCTTAGTTGAAGATATGTCGTATGATCTTATCGCGACATGTCATTTATACTTTTATATCCCGATTCCTGCACACCTAAATAACAGAAGTCCAGGTCCAGAAGACTATCTCTTGGTAAAAACGAAAAAGAAAAAGAAAAATATTTGTTTTTTTAAAAAAACAAAATTGATTTTGTCGTTTCTGTTTTAGCTATTTTTTAATTTTAAAAAGCAAAAACGAACATAAGGCTGTCCAGTGTCCACACAGGTTGTAAAATTTGTTCAATAAAATCCCTCAGCGTCGGATGGATACTCGTCGCCCATTGGCGAATTTTATATTGTTGTCGTAGCCGGTGAGGAAACTTTCCAAAATCACCTTTCCATATTTTGTTCAAAATTTCATTTTATTATGAAATAACAATTTTTTGAAGAATTTTTTTAACGATATTTGACAAAATTTGAAGCCTACGTACTAGATTATATCAAACCAGCTTCAAAAATTTACTTTCAAAATATATTGTCGGATTTTCACAAATTTTAAGACCGGTGCGAGAACTTTTTCAAAATTCACTTCAAAATATTTCGAAAATCCGATCGTTCAAGAAAAGAATTGGGTGTGGAGAAAATTTATAAAAAAAGAACAATCCAAAATTTCTGTATGTACATACATACATATTTTTTTTTGTTCAATTTTTAGAACTCATCAGACTCGCAGTGTTTTTTCTTATGGTATTTTTTTAAAATAGAGAGAAAGAGAGAGTTTTGAAAATCAAAACTGGGAATAACGTTTTTTCACGAAAACGGAATATTTTCATATATAAATTGCTGCATTGCTGTAGGGCGTATCAGAGCCGCAGCCCGGGTTTTACTAAACCCTAAACCCTAAAACCCTAAAACCTAAACCCTAAACCCTAAACCCTAAAACATATATTTGTTATATTGGGGATATTTTTTACAAATATAAGATCCGTGACCCTAATTTCTTGTCCTGATCCCAATTTGATCGTGGCCGGCAATCCCAAGATTCCACAAATCCTTGGCCAACCCCGAAGGTAGTATCCTTTATTTGATTCTTGGCTCAGCTCAAGTCAAAGTCTACGATTCAAGTAGTCTTGGCAATCCTCCTCTATCCTTTCTTAATCCTCAAGCTATTATACTACCCTATTTATACAATTTTCGACAGACCCGTAGCGGTCTATAGGTCTACAACTAAACCTAAATGTCTACGTACTATCTACGAACTTTAAGTAACCCATTCACGATTTGTCATTAATTCTACGTTTAGTCGTTTCGTAAGGGTCATGTGATGATGACTCATCAAAATTCATTGGCCACAAATTTTCGACATTGTGCACTGAAATTTCGAGAATGGTCCCAGATCCAAAAATATTCCACGATTCGGATTCCCCGCGAATCCTGAATTTTCCCGATTAGGAGTTGCCGACTCCTACACAAACAACAAAAAAACACTTCTACATAATCATGAAATTCATTTATTTTTTGAAATTTTACAACAGCTCTTCGATATTTTAAATATTTATCCCCCAGAGAGTATTCCAAAATTCCAGTTTCACTCATTTCAGTGACAGTCTCAACTCTGAACTCTCATCACTACTGTGAGCTGTCAATAAGTCCCATAGTCTCAGAGTCTCAGAGTCTCAGGACTCAGAGTCTCAGAGTCTCAGTCTCCCGCGTGTCCGAGACCTCAGAAATGGTTCGGTGAAAAGAAGGCGGTAAAAGGAGTGGACTGATGAGGAGACAGGACTGTAAACATACCGCAAGGTCTGAGGCTCTGAGCTTATTAGGAGTGAGGACTGAGGAGTGAAATTTTCGAATATTGTATAAATACGACAAAAATAGTAACTATTTTCATTAATTAAAAATAAATAAATATAATATGCAATTTGTTCTGGTGGTTTTTTGTTCTCTTTTTTTAAAAACTTCTGTAATAAATAACTTGTTTCACAGTTGTGCCAGTTTGTAAGTATTTGACTGTATTTACTATATATATATAAACTAAAAATAGTGTTGTCTTTTATTTTATTTTAAAGTTTCAACTATTTCAGTTTTCCTGATTCAAAACCTGTCGCGGTAAATACAGTATTTAGCTTCGCCTACCAATTTGTTATAAGGGCATCTTCGGTACTCCGTTAATTGTCCACATTTATATACGTCCCCAGCATGAGATTATATTACACCTGAAATATATTATAGTAATTTAGGACTTATAGATATATATATGACTGGACAAATACACAGAGTATACTGGGTTTTCTGTAAATTAAGATTATTAGACTCCAAAAACCCCGACAACAAGACAGGAGGTTAACTTTGGGCATCGATATAGGGCCAATATCGGCTCTTTCAACAATTGTGGGACATCCTCCAATCCATCATGTTTAAAAACATATACTGTCGTTTCCAGGTATTCTGGTGAGACGTCGGCCCCAGGCCCCAAGGCTCAGGGCCCAGGACAGCAGCCTGACCCAATTTCGTTTTTGTAAAAAAGTAAAAAATAAAAAGAATAAAGAATAAACCAAAATGAATTCAAGAAAGAAAAAATAAGTGTCTACCTCTATATATTTTCACGTCATTTGGGCCGACCCCTAGAGAGCTGGCCCCCTTTTAGGGCCCTGGAACTAATCAATCAGAAGCTCTCGGCCTCTCAGTTTAAATTATTACTTATCATCAATATTACCTAGTGATGCAACCATGAGTGGGCCACAGGATACAATCTCAGTGAGACTTTATACAACAAGTATACATATGTGTAGTCTACATACAGTGAATACGCCATAGGTACACTAAGACTTACTTCTTCTTCATGGAGGATACTTCTAGCTCAGGTCGCGGTTGCGCGCAAGGGTGCACGATCACGCAACCAACATCAGGTGCTCAAAAATGTACTGGTAGGTCTAAGCAAGGTGCATCATCTGGGGTAAATGAAGCACCAGATACAATAGTGAAGGGACTGTCTAATAGTAATACAAAGAAGGTGTACAAACAAACTGTGATATCAAAGATGTGTGCCGTTCCAGCAAAGAGAGTTAATCTAACAAACGACGAGAAAGGTGTCGTCGTGCGCACTATCAAAAAAGTAGATATGATTGGAGCAAGCCATGGAGAGAGAACTATAAAAGTGATTTAGTTAAAGAAGCCGTACAAGCTGCACGTACAACATACGGTATAAGTATAAAAACTATACCGAGGGGTTTTTTCGCTGGAGAGAAAATTACTAGTCTGTCTCACGAAGTGCATGTAAAAAGGAAATATTGCGAGAGCAAGAGCACTGTACTATCAGCTCCAGATCTGTCCTATGCACCTCTCAGGAAGAACCTGACCCATATATGTCTACCTCTATATATGTCCAATTATTGACCTTAGCGGAACCTGGACATATATAGGTATGACTGTATTTACATCATTCAAATATTGGTTTATTTTTATTTTTTTAACACCAAACCAAACCTAATTCACTATATCCGGTTTTGGATATGATCCCAATTTAAATTTGTAGACTTTTTCTAAAAACATTCAAAAGAATTTTGCGAGGGAGCCAAGTTGATAGCTCTGCTGGTTCATACAGCTAGCTATGTTTCGATTTATGAACAGGATTGTGCACTTTTCGACCATGTCAAATCTTGGATTTCCAGGTTGCGTATTAGCAGTTTGAACCTTCTAAGGGTTCTAATATATAATAAATACAAGTATTATTAGTTCAGAAATCATCCTTGTAGTATAGGAGGCTTATTATGCTTGCTCAAAATCACCATTTACGTGCATGCGTGTCCATCAATGACATCCATTTGGTGTGCATATTCAATTATATGTCTTCAATATGATTTTCAGACCTTCGTTATATCTATAAAAGCATAATTAAACCATAACAATGTTAATGCAATCGTTTGTAGGTTAATAAGTAGTGAATTTTGGCAAAAAGTTCAGGAAATGAGATTCTTCGTGCAATCGATGGCATGGCACATCAAATGACGTCAACAAACTTTTTCCTCGATTTTAGCAGCTGTAGCTTGCACTACGGTTATAAGAATGCACATACGATATTGTCTTGACAATAATTGTACGTGGCAACTTTGAAACTTTACTAATTATGCATATTTAGACCCAATAATCGCGTTTTTGGAGGTTACCGATGTAGTGGTAGACTCCTAAGCATAGAAAGTGTTCTACTTGTACTACGACCTTGGCGCCTTCACAGATCATTTACGAAATACTTAATCTTGAAATATGCCAAAAAATAAATATTGGGAATAAATTGAAGTCCAGATTTAGTAAATCAGGAACGTTTCTTTATTTTTGGTCCTATTTTATCCCCTTAGTACATGGATGGGGTGTTAAAAACATTAATAAAAAAAGCAAATAAATATAAGTCTTACAAAAGTAAAATTAGTAGCTCACGGAACATATGTTGCCTTCTAAAAATCAGACATAG